TTGGTTTACGATGGTAGTGACCACGTAGAGAATCAACATTCATTTGTGAATGTTTGAAGAGGTTTGTGAGTTGGGTTAGGTTTGCTTATTAGTTATTGGTGGATTGAGGATGGGTTTATAGAAATTTGTATCTTCGTTCAGAAAAGTTTTGTTCGTAGGAGTTTGAAGAAGTATGCGAGTCGTATTAGGTTTCATTATTACTTGGGGAGTTGGTGATGTGTTTATACAAATTCATATCTTTTATTAATGAGAATATGGTTTTATACATACTTTTAGCAATAACGGATTTATTTGTAGCATTTGAGCTTAATTTAAAAGTTTATGAATTGGGTTTGAGTTAGGTCTGTTTACTTCACGCACAAGTTCATAATACAAGCTGTTTGTTCATAACACAAGTTCGTCTGAATTGTTGGAGGATTGAGAATGAGCTTATACAAACTGTCATTTTTATTATTCATATATCGATGTGAAATGTAGGTGCTAGTTCTGTGCCAATTTTGTAAGTGTTAGAACAGGTCAAGGATATCAGAATACAAGGAGTACCAATTATCATTTTTAACGTATGAAATCTTCAATAGTAATTTTCTTTACAATAAATAACGAAAGAGAAAAAAAATATTGAAAAATATTGAAAAATGATGATGGAAAGAAAGAAGCAGATATGCGAAAGGAAAACGACTGGCTAAGAGGAAGGTGTAGTTGAATTAACTATAAATCAGAGCGAATTCAGGCGATGAGAATTATTTATGGCCGGCTCGATCGGACTCGCACAGACCTCTTTGAACTGTGTTTCTCTTACGGTGCACCATAAATACGATAGCCGTGAAGAATAGGGACGGCCGTAAAATTCAAACGGTCTCGCGACCACGATTCCTTCTCTCGTTATAGCTGTAATATAGTATCTATTAGCGTAGAAAACTCTTGCAGCTTCTCGTGTCGTTGACGTAGGCTCCATTCGAGCCTCCAGCTCGAAGTTATCTTCCAATCAAATTCTCAATTTTCAGCAGCGTTTTACTTCTTGCAAGGAAAAATAGAAATTTTCTTTTTATCGTCATTATATCGAAGCATTATGTTATTTCTTTTTTGTCAATTTCTAATACAGTTATCTTGAAACATATTTTTAAAAAGGCTGATATATAGTATTTGAATTTGAAAGATTCAAATTGAAGCTCAAATTTATATTAGAATTTCAATGTATATTTTCGATTTGAAATTGAAATTGGAATCTACATTTAAATTTCGCAAACATGCATTACTTACGAGTTACGAATAAAATAAGAATATAATAGGAATAGATTCAAAACGAACAATAATATTCCATCCGTTCTTATTTCTTGCTAAATAAAATTCTACGAATTTTTTATTAGATTAAAGAACATCTAATAAATGTTACGCGTGTTATTACATCAGTGTCGTTTCAACGCTGCATTCAAAGCAGTGAATTTAGAACTCTATAAAGAGTTGTTCACCTACTCTGTACTCTGAAGTCAATCTTATAAATACGTCAAATTAATAATTTGTTCCCTATAGAAACCAGTAAAAAACGATCTAATAAATCCAATATATTATTTCTCCAAAAGAAGGTACATATGTTTATGAGTTTTTAATCTGCAGTCAATCTGACGAATCTATCACAATTTAATTATTTCTTTTCTATAAAAACCACTGAAATAGTCTAATAAATTCAATATATAATATTATCCTCTCTCTAAGTATAATAAAACGCATATAAATCAGCTACATTCTAATCTGGAATCGATCAGATTAAATCAATCAAATGAACCGTTTCTTCTCTATAAAAAAAACCACCGAATTAATCTAATAAATTCGATATATAATATTACATCTCCTCCAAAAATAACAAAAATAATACGCATATTAATTAGCTAAACTATAATCTAGAACCAGTTCGTTCAATCAATCAAATTAACTAGTTCTTCGCTATAAAATGCCACTATGAAACAATCTAATAAGTTCAATCTACTACATTTTCTCCAAGACGAAGAGCACATATGTATCTGTGCCGATCGATTTTTCTCTGGCTGACGAGAGAAACCACGGAAATCGTTGGTTCGGTTGGACAGCCGACCCCAGGGGTCGAACGATCACCGGGTCGCGGGTTCAAGCGTGTGGTTCGTGCGCGTTCCTCCGGCGAACAGGCTGGCTGAACATCGGGCGAAGGGGTCGAGATGTGCATTGGCCGGTTAAAATGTGGGGCAGTGCTGCGATTCGTCCTTGGTATTCGTGCGTTTCACAGTCCACCTCGAATCCGTTCGTCCTTCTACCGGGTGATTCTCGCGGTTCCAAACTGAATTCGTGACACGCTTCGCGATCTCGATTTCCATCTTGGCCTCGATTCCCCCGATTTATTTTATTTGTCCCGGCAGTAGATATTTTGTTTAATTATACGCACACATCCACACGGATAACGATTTTATTTAATCGTATGTTGATCGTATGTCGATACGATTCGAGTTTGAATTTTAAATCCGATGATTACAACGTTGCGTTCCATACAGTTTTTACGATCTTAATAGCTCCAGCTTGTGGCTCGTATCAGCTCGTTTCATTGGAACTTTTATGTAAAGTAAAGGTCACGGAGGTTAATCGCTTTGGAAATTTCAAATTCAGTGGGAGAATTTAATACGTTTGCTCTAAGATTCGGAGATTGGCCCTTCGTCGTTGTGACACGTGGTTCATGTACCTTGCAGGTCTTTTAGATTAACCTTCCCTGGTATTAATTCGGTTTTGCTCTATAGTATCCATTTACAATATTTTATGCTCCTTTGCTGACAATGATCTGACAGCATTTTCTAGTTTTTCTGTTTTTCCCGGCCAGTAATACGTAGCAATATAAAACATCGATATAGTTGCAAACAGTGCTATAAAAACATCGTACAAACCGGAATTATACTTATCAAGATTGGTATAATTTCTGTTCCAAGATGTTATACGAATTACTGCAAGAGTAAATTATAGAATATAAATGACTATTACCCATATGATAATTTAAAACGAATGTTGTTAATACTCGTAAATATCAGTTCGAAACATATTAGGTTGCCCGAAAAGTGTCTTTCTTTCGCAAACGTGTTTTCTACGACAGTGCAGCTTTATGCAAACGCGAAACCAAGTATGTGAAATGTCGCGGTGTTTATCTCAACAGAACAAAATGGATCGTACGTAATTCGACAAAATAATATAAAACAAAAAACGTCGTGCGTCTATTATTTCCTCATTAAACGAAAGAAACTTTTCGGACAACCCGATAGAAGTGAAAATAAAGATAGAAGAGTAAATCAAGAAAAGAAAAAAGAAAAATGGAGGAAAAATAAACAGTTAGATCGATAAGGGCGAAATAAAACCATTTCAATTCCTCAGAGATATCGAGAGTACCGATACAATCGCGCAGCTACCGAGCAATCAATATAACTAAATTGATAGATACAACGCTATAAAGCCGTTATCGGTTTTTCTATTAGAGTGAAAAACTGCAATCAATCGTAATCTTTTTTCCGATAATCAGCGAGAAATCCGGTTATGGAGGGTTAACAGTCCTCTCGTTCCCTCTGAGATAGCAATGGCGAAAGAACGTTGAAAGTCTCGTGATCGTTCGCGCGACTAAAATTTCCTTAGAACACGCGCAGCAGCGATCTATAGTTCGCGTGATCGCTCGCGCGATCGAAACTTACGTAATTGCTACTCGCACGACCAAAATTCCTACCTGCACGTTGCCGCAATTGCCCGTGCTATGTATGTACGGTTGCAAATTGTTTTCTTGTTCTCTCGTGATTGATTTATTAGCGATCTTTGCAAGAGTTAGAAATTCGATTTCTTGTTCGCAAAATCTTGGGAATGGTGATCTCAGCGATCGTTATTATACGCAGAGATTAATGCACTCGGTATGTCTGCGAAAGTCAGGTGGTTAGTGTTAGAATTTTAAAAATTGCAGATTTATTGGTACTTTGTGAGTTGATGTTTGTATTTTATCATTTTCTGACTGGCCTGTTTTTCATTTTGTTAGAAACAGAAACGGAATCTAAATGGCAAGTATTTATAAGACTATTTTAGACACCGTAACTTTATCTTTATTACAATTCCCACAGTTAAATTATCTATGGAACTAACAGCGTAAGAAAGCCAATAAATTATCTCTAACTTTCATAAATATTCGAAACCTTCCCGTTAATATATATATATAATCCATTTATTTAGATCACAAAATGAATAATTAGCAGATAAAACTATCTTTGGTATTATACTTTTATCTCTACCGTAGTTCCAAAAAAATCCTACATATAACACTCATAGCTTTAAAAAAATCAAAAAATCTACAAATATCGACAAACTGTTCCCAGATTCCACAAAAAGAATTCGGAATATCCCAATTAATCTTCCACCTGTTCGCATCTCAAAAATATCTTTCACGTCGTATCTTTCCCTTCGTAACAGTTTTCAAAGATAGAACGTACACAAACGTGTATTCAAAGTCCGACAGAAGAACATTCAAGAACAGGAATGTTGTGATTGCTCGTGTAAAAAGAAGAAAAATACGTAGAATAAAATTTATTTCATTTTCGAATTAGTTTCCAAGAAAATCGAGCTTCGACATTTATCAAGAGTATTTGACAATGCTAAATTCGAACTGGACAGGACTAAATAATCGACAGGAGGTTATTCTACGCGTGAAAATAAGTTGAGAACGTGGAATACAATTTTTTCACGGGACAATTTGTTTCCGAGAAAAAAATTCTGTTCCATATATTTTTTTTTTTTTTTTACACAAAGAATCACATCGTTTCCGCTTTTACATGTTAGTCGGTCGGACCTTGCACATATAGATACATCACAAACGACATCCAAGCACGATCAACACGCAATCTCCACGAATACCAATCGACACGTTGAAATTTGAATTTTCCTGCGTCATCCCTCAACCTGTCCACACCTCTACGCACTCTCATCGTCATGGGTATTACTATTCTCTAACCACAACCTACACCATTCACGGCAGATGTCAATACACGTGGAAATGCTAACGAGCACTTTTCACCATGCTGCACACTCTTCTTCTTGCTTGGTATCGCCGGCAGCGTAGAAGAGTATCTACCACGTCGATATGCAGACAGAGAGAGGATCGTGGTCGTCGCGTTCATGACTCGCGGGACTTGCGTGGCTCGTGATTTAGTCACGTAGCTGGCTCGTTTAGCCGTGATCGTTAGCGGTCGTGTTATATGGGTGTAACGTGATTCTCGTGTCACGTAGCGTAACGCGTAAGCCCTTCGTGCTAGCGAAAACGAGAGAAGGAAACGACCGTATTGAACGAAACGAGCGGTAGAATGAAAAGGGTTGGAGGGTAGACTTCGTGACGTTGTGTCGTTCGAATGGACTGATATTTGGAAATAACCCGACGCGTGCTTCAACGAAAGTGAAACGAGCTTTCGTGATGTTTAATGGACAACCTGCTGAGGCTCACGAGGCTTTTGTCGAGGTCATTGGTTCTCGGCTGATTTTCGGGGTCGTTGGTATTATTGTCTGACACGTTGATTTCTGCATCATCGTTGAAGCTACACTGACGTGGTCAAGTTTTGATCAGGTGGTTTCTGTATTTCAGTTGAGAATCTGATTTCTGATTTTTCGACTTTACCCTGAGAATCTCTTGATTTCACAATTTTAGTTCACGTGTCAATTTCTACGTTTTTATTGGAAATCTGTCGATTCCTAGGTCTGATTAAAATTATGTCGACATTTAGATCAAACTGTTCGATATTAGAAGTCTAAGTTCGAAGTGGCTGCTTCTAATTACTTAGACTCTGCTTCTACCAATCTTCATAATCAAGGTGCCCATTGTAAACCTAACACGATTATACATTATATTAGAGAAATTTGTTCCATTTAACGTTGTAACAAATAAACAACAAAAATACGAAATTGATCCAGAAGAAGAAAATGAACAAAACCAACGCTGACTATGACAGAGAGTGTCATAAATCTACAGATCCTAGATCCTAAAAGAAGCAAAACTTCCGTTGATTCCGCGATGTTTACCAGGTCGCGGGAACAAACGAGAAAGTACATTGAACCTATGGTAGATCAGCGGCTGCCAGTTTCGTGATAACTGGCAATGAGTCAGAGAGGGCAGGCTCATGGGCCTCGATAGCCTTTACCGGCTGGCTGGCAGGCGCGAGATTGGGAAATCAGACATTACCGGCGTTTCCGTCTGCTTGTGCACGTATCACGTGTACCGCGAACAGGATAATTTGTGTCGAACGCGTGACCGTGCTGGCTGAGATTTATGCGCGGAATAGCCACGCGCTAGTGTGCCTCGATGTTTATCTAAATCGCTGTCCGATCTCTCTCCCTTTCTCTGTATTTCGCTTCGGCTAACTGTTTCTCTCCTCTCACGTATATGATCGTTGGTTGGTTTTGTGGCTTTTGCTTCGAGAATGGGGACTAATCTTGGGCCGTTTATCAGATGCAAATGTTCCGTCTTTGCGAACGAACGAATATGGATAAGGGTAATTGGTTCGTAGCTGCAATTTTGTTGCTTTAAAGAGCGGTCCAGTAAATTTGTTTATAGTGTTTGATTAGATTAAAGTCGATTAATGACTCGGAAGGTGGTGAACGTTTTGTAATTTAACGAGCTATCGTTTGTATATGTTTGGTAACGTGTATATATGTGTTTGGAATTATCAGTAGGTAGAATTTATAATACAAGTTTTCGCTTTGTGATTTTACATGCAATTATGAACCACCGTGTTTAACGTGTATAATATGTGTATATTAGTTGCATTAGGAAAATTGTGACAACTTTAAGAGTCGATTTATAAAGAACTTATAATAAGCATGTATAGTGAATAGAATTTATAATGAAGTTTTTAATAGAGTAGCTAAAAGATTAATAAGGGAACGTTAATATTAGATGATATTAACGTCACTAAAATCTGGTTAATATAACATGGTTACAGAATGATGTAAGCCCAGGAGCTAAATTATCCTTAATGACGCAAGGAATTATGTTCGTCGCAATAATTATATCCACTTTAAAACTACCAAGCGATCAATGACATAACGCCTCGTGTTTTTCTGCTTTCAGGTAAGAGTCATATGTCATCGTTTACAAATATTCTTCCACTTGCAATTTCGAAGGCATTTAAACACTGGACCTGACAAACGTAGCATCTTCAAGGTACGATATATATATATATAAAATTGTTACAAAAAGTATTCATATTCCATTTTATTTATCATAGCATTTTCATACCAATTGATTAAGTCCAAGTGTATCGAGTTTCATATCGTTTGGTAGTACTTTCATATGACTACAAAAATGTAATACTGTGAAACGTGGAGACCTGATAGAGAAACGTTTCATTGGAAAATAAGAGTATGTACCTGTAAATGCTTTTTATGGCCAGTGTAATTGTAGCCACTTGGCTAATAACTTTTACTCGAATGTACATTTTTAATAATTATGTCTGAAACGTAAAACTTGGATGAGTAGTTTTAACGAGCCCGCAGCTGGTGTGATTGATGCACACACGTGGTCTAAGCTGCTTGTTAGCGCATTAGTAGCGTACCGAGATTTCCTCGAAACGATGTCAAGGCCGTGACCTAATGCAAGGTCGTTGTCCCCGGCGCGTCTTTCTCCACCCCTTCCCCCCTTTTTCTCTCTCTCTTTCTCCGTAACATCTATTTTCCGGTGTTGGAATTTTCACCGTGTACGAGACAAACTCGTGGTGGAATCTATGTCGAGTATGTGGAAACTCTGACATTGGTCGTTCAGAATCTGATTAAAAATCTACTTTCTTATAGAGAAACATAGTTGGGATGATACGGTTTTTTATTTCGTTGAAAAGCCACAAGCTTAGATATGTTCGCAAACAAACCATCTCATGCATAGGAAATTAGAAACTTCTGTTCAATATTCTTCTGTGTCGTTTATTCTGCTTTATTCTGTTAACGCTAGAATTGTGAAAAGTATCAAAACGATCCAGATTTTTCATTATTACGATTATCAAAATCATGTGGGTGTTTTATTTTAATTATAAAATTAATATCATTTTTCACTGAAAAGATTCCTTATTTCCATCGTATCAATGCGATTATGACAATTCACTCATGTATAATATATTTGGATACCTAGACACGTTCCACTATATGATTAGAATTAAATCGATATGTTGAACATATGTCGAGTAACGTAATATAGAACAATAGCCAAATTCTGTAGACAAAATGTACCAAATATTCCTACTAACTGTTAATATCGAAGCAAAATAAAGTACACGTGATATTATAGGCATCTTATAGAAGCTGCTCGAATCTCGGTACCCATACTCGTTGTAAACATTATTCGTAAATTGATATTGTATAAGATGCGTGCGTTTTATGAAAAATAGCAAATTATGTCATTACATCGAGGAATTTTCAGAACCTGTTTTTCAAATTGTCCGTCATATAACATTTTTTTTTACGAACTCCTTATCTTGTCTCAACGCACGAAACACGTAAACTTGAACGACTTCCGACCGATTTTACCATCACAATATTTCAGTTTCATCAAGTATATAGAAAATATTATGAAAATGTATCCGGTTGATAGTAATATGTATCTTGTCCAATACATTCTCTCTTTCAACTCTTTCAACCCTTGTATGGCGCATACGGTGATGAAGGAAAATGTTGGCACAGACCAGACTTTCTTGTAAAATCCTACGTAAAATTCTAAACTACATACAGTCTACAGTTTTTGTATCCATTTGTTCATATATATCAAGCGGCTAGCCTATAAAACGTAGAAACACGACAAAGAAGAAGCTTTATTATTTACGCGTGATTTGTTTTTCGTGTAACGTGGCTAATCGATAGATTTCGCGGAGTTTGTCGTAGCTGCATAAATTTAAATACACTTACGTGTATGTTATCTAAATAACAGTAAAATGGAAAGCAATAGTAAAAATTAAAAACATGATATACTAGAGTACACGACATAAGGAAACGCATTTGCACGCTATAAAACCAGACGCTGTATAGTCGAATAATGCACGTGGAAATAAAAAGTTTCTTGCCTTTCTCCAGAATCTCAAGAAAAGCGTAACAAGGGTCAAAAATGGACCGTCTCTAAAATTTCTGGCATAACGACAGCGCCCATTTTTCTGGACCTTTGACATCTTCCATGCGCCGTTTGACCTCTTAACGCACAAATCTTTCCTAAATTTGATTATTCCGTGAAAAATTTCAAAATCGACTCGTAAAATGTTCGAACATGACTGACTCGCATAGTTCTACCATATTACGCGCGTCAAATGTAATTTAAATGCAAGAATCCGCTAGAATCCCGTCTTCTTCGATCGATTTCCACGGGTCGATTCCCCTGGCGACATGAATGGAACAGAAGGCACGATTCGCATTTAGGTCTCGTAGAACTGCTAGTCCGGCCGATAAATATGCGACGCCGCACGTCCGCGGATCGTAGGAAGTTCTCGTCGCTTTCTTTCCTCTCTGGCTGCATTCCCTTGCCGCTCGCGTGTAGAAGCCGACGACAACGACAACGACAACGACGACAACGACGACAACGACGACAACGACAACGACAACGACAACGACAACGACGACAACGACGAGAACGGTGAGGATCGCCAGCATCGCCGGATCGGTGTCGGTGACCCGTCATCGAATCGACCAGCTTGACAATTAGCCGCGTCAGAATCCCAAACGACACCGTATCCGACATCGACACCTTTCTAATCTGCATGATAAAGGGCCGATGTAATTAAACGCCTGGATAAACGTTCAAGACACCGTATGAAGCCTATTATGCCACCGTGAGTCATGCCATTCCTATCGATTATCGTTTTGGTGCGGCTAATTTAATGAATATTATTACGCGATATCGATTCCTTTCATCTTCCGTTTCATTATTAATTGCTGGTTTCCAATTGACGAATTAATGAGCCTTTGTCTAGGAATTGTTTCGAGCTGTTAAAGCACGATGAGCTGATTCGTCGTTTGGATCGTGGATCTTTTCGATAGAATGGTTTCTCTATGCTGACGTTCTAATTCTAATTTTATAGTTTGCTTTATGGTGTTATTAGAAATGAAATTAATAACAGTCGAAAGTGGTTCATTATCGAAATTCATTTGCCAGTGAAATTTTTATTATTATTTTATATTTATTATTGAAGTTAGGTAATAACTCTGTCGCGTTGTTTGGTTTCTAATTAGAATTACGGTTAGATGGGATTTTTCATGCCATCAGATTGCTCGTAGCTTTCTCAGCCGGTTATAACAAAGGTAAATAATAAAATAAATAGTTACAGGTTGTATTTTTTATTTGTTTTGGGAATCGTGTACATTGCAAAACGATGAAATATTGAAGCGTTCAGGGAATTTTAGCTTGTTCTGGTTTCCCAATTTTTGGTCACCTTCTCGTCATCTTCATTAAACTGTGTAAATGATGTCGAAATGGAATTTCTGATAAGATAATTTAGTTAGAATATGTGTCCATTAAAACACC